AAGGCCGCAGTGCATCGTTTATTCGCACCCACGTATAGGTGAACACACGATCCGTCATCATTGGTGCTTTCATTGAGAGGGGCTGATCGTGTGGTTATCTATCTTATCTTTATTTTTTTTCGGTTTTGCCTTTTGGTGAGGGGACCGAATTTCTCTTCTTTTTTTTGAGTCGAAATTTTCGAATTTATTTCGAACTTTTCATTAAAAAAAAAAAAGTGTCATCTTGTTAGTCCTTTGTTATTTTTTTCGGTTATTACCTTTTGTTGAGGGGCCGAATTTCTTTTTATTTCGATTTTTTGAGTCTTGTTCGGGGTTCGAATTTTCGAATTTTTCCCCAATTTATTTTCGTTTTTTTTAGAGTAAAAAAAAAAAAAAAAAAAAAAATTATGTCTTACCCACCAATGGATGAGTTGGATTGGGAAGATCTTGAGATGTTGGAGGGTTTAGAAAGAGAGCTCACACCATGGGAGGCAACATATTTAGACGAGCTTCATGAGAGGAGGAATATAGAGGAGTATGAACGACAACTCATGGAAGCCCGAGAAGTGATGGTGGTTGAGAACAATGAAGGGGAAGGTGCGCTTAACATCTTAATCCTTGAGGACAAAGAAAGTCTCGAAGAGGAGGGGAATGATACGGAAGTGGTCATCAACCCCGGTGAGTCCGACAATGATGATGGCGATGATCTTGATATTTGGTTGGAAAATATGTTGGAGGCGCCATCTAGTCCTATTTACCGGCCATTAAGTATACAAGATTGGCCAAAAGGTTGTAGGCCAAAGCTGAAGTCGAAGATTAAGAAACGGACGGCCAAGGGACAACGCAAAGCACGGGCCCGAAAAGCAAATCAGTGTAGGTGCGGACCTTGTGCAAAGAAAAGACAAGCTCAAAGGAAGGAGGCTAAAAGGCGTGGCTTGCGATGGGTGAAGGAGGGTTGGTGGATACCGGCGGATGATTGTGTAAGATTAAAGGGTTGGGATCCATGGCCCGAGCCGACGGGAACGAGTGAGAACAAGGACGACAATGATCGGCTAATGGGCGAGTGGCGCGCATCGGCCCATGATGCGCGCGGTTGGATGGCCGATGATGATGCACCAGCAACGGACGTACGGGCCACGGGAATTGGCGGTGACGAGCGGGCGTCGGGCAGCGAGGACGCAACGCACGCTGGGTGTGCGATAGGTGGCCAGGCCGTGGGGACGGCTGGGACGTGCAGTAACGCGGACGATGCGCGGGGATACTCGTAGACGATGGGGGCCTGGACGGTAACACGGACGCGCGCGAAGAAGCGGGCAGGGACGAGGCGCGCGATAGGCGCGCGAGTATGGGCTACGCGGGTGGAGTCCTAAGCTGCGAAGGATTAGGCGGCGCGGGTGATGCGCTGGCTGGAGTGGACGATCGAGTCCTAGCAAGCGTAGGAGTGCTGGGAGGTGACGGGCACGCACGCGGGACGGACGACACGAGCAATGTGCGCGCGACAGCGCGCGCGTGTGAAGGGAGCGCGCGAGACCTAATTGCCGAAGGACTAGGAGAGCTCGAGGGGCGGCGCACGGATGACGCGTGCGACGCGATGTGCGAGAGGCGGTCGTGAGGCGGCCGAAGAGTTGGGCGAGCGTAGGGTTTAATTTTTAGGGAGCTTCTAGATTTGCTTGGTGTGCAAGCCAAGCATTAGTATTTTGGTAGGTTTAGGATTTTATTGCTTTCTAGAGATAGGATTTCTATTCTTGCAATATTTAGGAGATCTATTAGATTTAGGCTTAGATTTATTTCACAACTATAAATACCCCATGTACCTCATCATATTTTACAAGTTGAATGAAGTATTGAATTGGTGAGCCAATCTTGAGGGGGAACTTATGTTCTTAACGTGTGATAAAGAAGGCCATTAGTGCGTCTTTACATGCAGTGTCGGAGAGAAGGCCAATAGTGCGTCTTGAAGTCACGGTGTCTAGGACAAGGCCGCAGTGCGTCTACTAGATACATCTATCGGGGATAAACGAAGGCCGGAGTGCGTCGTTTATTCGCACCCACGTATAGGTGAACACACGATCCGTCATCATGCGTGCTCTGCGCGCTGGCTTGCGTGCTGGCGTGCGTGCTCACGTGTGGAATAGAGGTTAATCGGTCGGGAAAATGTGTCGGTTAATAGAGTATGGCCTTACTAGTCATTTGGAACGACGTCCGAGCATCGGACATAACGGGACGTGGGATGCGAACTAAACTAGATGTCGGATTAAGACCAAGTTGTCGGACTAAACTCGATTGAGTCTGTCGGTTGAAAATGTTCGAGGAAGAGATGATCTTGTCGGAGAAT